ACAGACAGATGAGTGGCGGTTGTGTGGTCACTGTTAAACACGAATCTCCTTGTGCTATGACCCTTAAGTCCGGCTCAAAGGTGGGATTTCCATCCTCAAATGTCATGTCAGTCAAGAGGTGGAAGCGCAGCAGGGGCGACAGTGTTGTAATGAGATGCTTTGGGCTGTGCTTGTGGGTCTCTAAGTTGGTCGAGCCCACATCAAAGCCAAGATCCAACGGCTAGGCCGGGATGGTGCCCTCGCGTCCGGGGTAAGTAGGACAGCCTTGCTGGGCGCTGCAGTCTCTTCCTGCTAGGCAGCATCCTCCTCCCAACACCCCCCACCCCAGACCTGGTCTCCAGACACCTCTCCCCCACCACTCCATGGTCTGGGCAGATCTCGCACATCGTTCAGCCGCCGCCCCCTCCATTAACACGGCCGTTGGAAACCCTAGGCAGGGTCTTTATGAGTCAGAACCGACTTCACAGCATACCACCGCCACCATGGATAATTAGCCTTTGAAAACTACACACATTTTTGCTAAGCGTCACTGAATCAGTTCTGACTCATAGTTACCTTGTTAGGGGTTTCTGAGGAGTGAATTTGAACTGCAGATCTTGCATTCAAACCAACCTTGCAGTCTAATGCTTACCCTGCAGTGCCACACAAGGACTACTTTAGGTGAGTATTTGTGGGAAAATGCGCTTTATACATAATCTCAATGCATATGACTGATTACAAAGATGACAAGATACCATTGCAATGGAAAACATTGACGGACACATTTTACTAAATTGATTTAACAAAATGGGGGCAATTGACATCCTGTGCATATTAATGTAGTATGTAAAGAGCACACATCACCAAAAATGTTTAACCTGAATCAAAGAATGAAAGGATAATACACCAAGTAAGTTCAGATGAAGAATTCTGGTGTGGCACTGTAGGTTAAGTACAGGACTGCGAACCACAAGGCCAGCGGTTCAAGCCCACCAAGATGCTCCTCAGCAATCCTGTACAGGTTTGCAATGAGTTGGAATCAAGTTGATGGCACCTAACAACAACAACAAAATTAACCTGGTCTGAACTATTCAGAAAATATCAATGTCATAAAATACAAAATAATGAAAAAAAAATTTAAATAAATAATGAAAATAAAATAGCAATGAGAATAAAATACAAAATAAAACAGAAATGAGAAGGCAATGGATCATTCTTATTTGATTCTGAGATCAAAAACAAAGAGGGACATTGTTGGGGAAATCTGAATACATACTATATATTTGTTGTTGTTGTTGTTAAGTGCTGTCAACTCGGTTCTGACCCATAGTGACCCTGTATAGGGTTTCCAAGGAGCAGCTGGTGAGCTTGAACCACCGACCTTGCAGTTCAAATGGTTTTGCAGTCTGGCACATTAACCCACAGCACCACACCAGGACTCATCTTCTCAGGAGCATACAGCCTCATCTTTCTCCAAAGGAGCGGCTGGTGGGCTCAAACTGTAAACCTTGTTTGTAGTCCAGTGTTTATCATATGGAATCACCACACTCTCATACTATATATTAGATAATATTAATATGTTAAGTTAAATTCTTGGGTAAGATAATGGTATGGTAGTGATTTAAAGATCATTTTGTTCATAAGCAATATATGATAAAGAATGAAAAGTCATGATTGCAACTTACCTTTAAATGGTTCAGAAAAAAAAAAAGAATGAATGATGGTGAATCTAGCTGAATGTTGTATAGAGTCAGTGTACTATTTTTCAACTTTTCTGTAGATGAATTTTTTTTTTTTTTTTAAGTTGGGAAACAAAAACAACAAACAAAATTATCATTTCAATTCTTTATTTCATATGTTCTTTTCAACAATATGAGAATTTGAATTTAGTATAAATTAATAACTCTTTATGGTTTGAAAATATGAACTGTTGAGTGAAAGTTATGAATTATAATCAAAATGTGTTACAAAGTACTTTAAAAATAAGAAAAGATTTAAGACTCATTATGCTAAATTTCTAATGCAAATATAAAACAAGAATGAAGGCTATTGTTGATGCTAATATTCAAAATGAGTTTTGCTCAATTCTGAAATCTCATTCCCTCCGAAAACCAAAGACAGTATTCATTATAAACTGGAAGTACAGAATTCTTAACAAAAACGAACTGGATATATAATTGTATAATTCTCCTTATAGGTACAAGTTATTTTTCAGCAACCTATAAGCCATTGAAAATGTGGTTCCATATCCAACAAAAAAAGCCAAACCTCGGTTTGGCTGAGGGAGGGGGGTCAAATATGCAATTGTGTGGTAGATCCGTGCTCCAACAAAGAGTCTGAAGTGCAGGAGGGCTGTCGAGAGATCGGGATCACTCAAGGAATACAGAAGTCCAATGCCAATAAATGGTACAATGTTTTCAAGGTCATTCAGGTGGGCTCTGTGGGAAAAGAGGACTATTTTAGATACTAATTTCAAAATCAGTAGAAATATAGTTATGTTTTCTTCTCCTCCCAAACTGAATATAAGTGTTACTGGAGCTTTAATTTGTAAAGTAAGATTCCTTTTATACTCTCAAATTGCTTTGTTTCCTTATCCACTTGACTTTTATTTAAAACATCTCATTATTTTTGTTTCTTTTTTTATTTTTAATGGATCCCAGCATATAACAAAAAAGTCATTTTTCAGTTGTAGAGATGAAATACTTCTTTTTTGAGGTTCATAAAATAGCAATTCTTCTTATGAAAACTTTTCTTCCCCAAAGAAGAAAATCCTTTTGGCTATGATCTTTCCTAAATTCCTCCTTCATATCTGCTGATCTATAAAATGATTAATGGGAGAATGCTTGCCCATTTACCCAAATCATTAGGTTGCCAAGAACTGATTTATCAATTATCAAGAATAACATGTTCTCAAAATACAGTTAACAGACAATAACTAGACAATCTGTTCTCAGCCTCCAAAAGGGATTAGTTAACAGTGATGATGCAAAAGTAAAAAGTATACACAAAAATAATAGGCATTAAAGAGGCAGAAAGATGGTTTCTAAATTGTATCTGTATACAACAACTTGAACAAGACAGAAAGCACAGTTTAGAAACAAATTTTCCTCAATTCACGGTATACTGAGTTTTGCTAGCCAGGATTTACAATACAAGACATTTCTATTAGTGACTTCAAGATTTTAAGCGTAATTTCAAAATGTGATGTGTCCCAGTGTTGTCTTCAGATTTAGAAAAAACAGATTTCTGATAGTTTATCAGCTATTGATACGTATTTCAAAATGAAGAATATTTGTTTTATGTTACTTTCTCATCTCTTTAAGCAAAAATCTAATGGTTGCTTATTGCCTGCTCAGTGATCACCAGTCCCTAATTCCCCACTTTTTTTCTCTCTTATTGTCCTAAGATTATCTCTCAGGTTACATGACAAAAATGATAGCAACATAGAATGTGAAATAGGCAGTAACACAGATGAAATAATCCCTGGTGGCACAATGGTCAAAGTGCTTCACTGCTAAGTGAAAAGTCACACATCTAACCCATCAGCTGCTCTTCTGGCAGTCTACTTCTCTAAAGATTCACAGCCTTAGAAATCCTATGGGGCAGTCCTACTCTGTTTATAGGATCACTATGAGTCAGAATTAGCTTGATTGCAGTTGGATGGGTTGTTGGTAACCTAGAGGAGTAAATATTTCAAAGGGTTTAACGAACTAATGAATAAAAGCAAAGATGTCTATTGTCTAAAGGTGTGACCATTTCTATGCATTTGCTTTAATGGAATAACCAACCCAAGGCTACTGGGAGGAAAGAACAGGGCAGCCAAAGAAACATTCATTTCATAAACTGCAACAAATGTATTTGTTTGGTCCTTTGAATTCTCCTGCAGGATGAACCACAGAGATCTCTCTACCTCAAAATTTCAGGATGTTAGTGTTCTCTTCAAACATTGTGAAGGACACAGAAAAGTGTAAATTTGGGGGAGGAACTATCAAACTCTGTGAGAAACAATGCCCCTTTGCAACACATTCTATTGAGAAATAAAAAAGTGTTAAAGCAGATAAGAAAATCAAGGATAGAAGGGGGAAAAGGACAATGTAAGTCAAGTGGTAGGGGGAGGAAGGAAAGTCTGGAGCAGAGCTTCCTTGCCCACTCTCACCGCTTCTTTTTTATGACGCCTCCACCCATTTATCTTACTTTCCTTTTCAATGGTTTTTCCTTTTCTTCAGTCCTCAAAAGGTTCTCACAATACGTCTTTACCATCCTAGTAAGGCACATTTCAACAGATTCTCATACACCAAGCTAATTTATGCCTTTTATTGCATGGAATGCTGTGGTTCCAAATGATACACTGGGGACTGTGAACCACAAGAGCCGTGGCTCGAGCCCACCAGCCACTCTGCAGGAGAAAGATTAAAATAAAAGCCTCCATAACTGTGCAGGGTTGCTAAGAGTTAGATTAGAAGGCACTTAACATCTCTTCAGATCCAGCCCTAGGCATACACTTACCCCACAGTTCCCAATGAGCACTTTAGTAGTTCAATATCATTATCACATGACCACTGGAACCTTATCCTCTGCTCAAAGGGCAGAGTGCATTTGAGAATCGCAGCTTCAATCATATTAGTGCCATTTTTAGACAGCTATCAAAATCTATTCCTAGGTGGGTATCAGTCTTCATGTGCGACCATTATATGTCATTGCTGCCACCCACTGGCATCAAGTTGATTCCAACTCATAGCAAGCCTACAGGGCAAAGTAGAACTGTGTCTTAGGATTTCTGAGACTGTAAATCTTTATGGGAGTAGATGGACTCATCTTTCTCCCACAGAGCAGCCGGCCTGGTAATAAGCAGCCCGATGCTTATGCCACTGTGCCACCAGAGTTCCGTGACTACTATACCTGGGTCTATACCTTCCTCTCCACCATGGTTTTGAGTTCCTATTTTTCATTCTCCTTTGGACAGACAGCCCTTCCCACCAGGCTTGCTCTGTGCTCTTGATACTATAGTCACACCTCACTCTTGTAGATGAGATCAACTGAATCTCAGAATCAAACCTGGACTGCAGTTGCTACAAGCCTTGGAGAAATTATCCGGTTGGGGTGAATAGTTTCACTGGAGACTTTCCTGACTCTTATCTCAGTCTTAGCTACTCCAGCCTCACAGCATACAACACTACCCACAGATTTCTCCAAATTTACAGGATCTCTTCCCAAATGTTTCTCATTCCAAATCCTAATAGCCAACAGGTGCTTTCTTCATGAAATATTCCTAAATACCCAAGGATACACGTGCAGTGAGTTATTCAGTATGCCTCCTATAGCCATTGCTTTGGCCGACGAGTCAGTTCCAACTCTTATTGACCCATATAGGTCCTAGGAGTGGCTGGTGGCTTTGAACTGCTGACCTTGGGATTAGCCATCCAGTGCTTACCCTACAGTGTCACACAAAGACTTCCCCACCAAATGACTTTTTTTTTTTTTTAAATGAGAAAATATGGAGGAAGATGTGATAGGATTATATGATTCAGCTGTGGCTGTTAATAGGGTTAACTGTGATTCTAAAAATTTGGAACTCTAATGTGGTTATACAATGAGCTCTCAGAAGCAGCAAAGAAGGAGCTCTCACTATCATCAAGGAAAAAGAGCCAAGAATGGAATATGTCCAATGGACCAAGAGATCTTTGCAGGTTCAACCTCCTTGACCCAGGAGACAGAGATGTGTTACCCTGAGTGGCAGCAGCAGAACCAAGAGTCAGAGCACAGATGACCGGTGGGCTTCCCAGGCCATGGAGTAAAACTGAGTGCCTTTGGACAAGAGGCTCATTTGGAGAGCGTGGTAATCCAGGCACTTAATTGGGGAGCTAGGTTTGCTGACCATGGAGCTAGGGCTGAGTGCCTTCAGGCTACAGTTTATAGCAAAGGGAGTATCCTTTGGGCATTGATCAGCAATCCTAAAAGAGCTCATGGAGTCCTGGTGTGGTGCTGTAGAATAAGCACTTGGCTTGAATTGCAAGGTTGGTGATTCAAGTTCACTAGCCACTCCTCAGAAACCCTATACAGGGTCGCTATGAGTAGGAACCAACCCGACAGCACTTAACAACAACATCAGAGCTCAGTAACATTGCCCAAGCAGGACAGAGGCCAGTCCAAGGTTCCAAGAGCCAGACATAGGCCAGCCTGTGTGAGGAGAGGATGCCCTAACTGGTAGAACTGGGCCCTGAACATTTCTGACTCTAAATTTGCAACCCGTTAACTTCCCTAATAAACCCCCATTTCATGAGTATTGTCTAAATTGTATATGGCCATTGCAGTGAATGACTGAACCCAGCTGAAACAAAGAGTACAACGGGAAGGATAGTTAGTATCAGAATTGATAAGGAAGGTTGAAAGTTGGAGGCAGTTTTACTTTCTGTAAGCCAAGTTGTGTCATTTGAATATTACAGGTTGTTAATGAGCAATCCTCCAATCCTGTAGCTGTATTCTCCATACAGTACAGCTTCTCAGATTATTTGATATAAATACAGATAGAATAAGTAAAGTGAAGATACAACCCTGGTACATACCTCTCCTAATTTTAAAACATGCAGTATTCCCTTGTTCAGTTCAAACAACTGCCTCTTGGTCTATGTACAGATTCCTCGTGAGCACAATAAAGTGTTTTAAAATTACCATTCATCAAATGCTAACCAGAATTTTCATTGTTAATAAAACACAGGTAAACATCTTTCTGGTATTTCCTACTTTCAATCAAAATCTACCTGACATCAGTAACAATACCCCTCATTCCAAGTCTTTTTCTAAATCCGGCTTGAATTTCTAGAAGTTCTCTAATGATATATTACTGCAACTGTTTCTGAATTATTTTCAGGAAAATTTTACTTCTTAATCATATTATTTGGTAATTTCTGTATTCCATTGAATCATCTTTTTTTGGAATGGGCATAGAAATGCATCTCTTCCAGTCAATTGGCCAGGCAGCTGGCTGTCTCCCAAATTCTTAGAATAGGTAAGTGAGCACCTCCAATGCTGTTATCAGTTTGCTGAAGCATTTCCATTTATAGTCAATTCTTGTTTTCTTCAGTACCTTCAATGCAGCTTAAACTTCTTCCTCTAATACCATCAATTCTTGATCACATGGTACTTCCTGAAATGACTGAAAGCTGACCAATTTGGTATGTTGTTATGTGCTGTGGAGTCGGTTCCAACTCATAGCGACCCTGCATAGGGTTTCCAAGGCTGTAAATCTTTACAGGAGCAGAAAGCCTCATCTTTCTCCCGCGGAACAGCTGGTAGTTGCGAACTGCTGACCATGAAATTAGCAGCCCGATTTGTAACCACTATGCTACCAGAGCTCCTTATGCTAGGTAGTAGAAAGGAGGAAGACAGTCAGCTACTTCTATTCTGTCTGTCTGTCATACTGTGATAGCATGTGTGTTAC